GAAAGACTCAGGCTCGAGGTTGACGGCGACCACGGCTAGCCCGAGCACCGCCGCATACAGCCGGTTGAACAGCCACATCAAGAAGCGATGCGGGTCCCGCGCGTTACGCGATTCCTCTGCGATGAGAGCCTCGATTGCTTCACTCACCTCCTCGCGCTGCTCAACAGGCAGGAGAAACTGTGCGAGGATGTCGTCAACGAAGGTGGCAAATGTGATTGCGATGCCGTCGAGCAGGAACTCCGTGCATGTGTTGTCGTTGAAGAGAAGAGCGCACGTTGCTCTGGCGAGGCAGTACGGCAGGCGAAACATGCGCATCCGATGGTGAACCCAGGCCAAGCAGCGCATCCACAGGGGAAGCTCCCCTCCCATAGCGCGGTGGCGGAGCAGCCGCTTCTCCAGTGCAGCCTCGTCCCAGTCGGGGTAGAAGCAACAGACTCGCCGCCACAGTCGACGCCGACCGCCCATTCCCCCCTCCTCGTCCCCCCCTCGAATCCTCCGGACCCCGACAAGCCGCCCGACGTTGGGCCTCTGCCCCGCACGCCCCCGCCCCTTCTGCCCCTCGCTCACACCCCGGCCCGACACGCACATACAAGACAAACCCGGCGTCCTGCTCTCAAAAGAAAAGAAAAAATGGGAAGGAGGAGACCAGCGGGGGAGACTCCCCGCCTATGCAACACCCCAGAGAGGGGCTGCCATCGCCGAAGCTGTGCCTAAGCATAACTCCCAAACCCGCAGCGGCCCGGGGGGCCTTGGGGGCAGCCTGCCGGACCGCCGCTACACGGGGCTAGGCACCAGAAGATTAGTGGAATTGATGAATTGGGCCGTTGTCCGTGCCTCCCCTCTATACGTCAGAGTGGGACCTACGCCGCGCCGGGTAAGGGGCGCGCCCGGTCCTCGACGGAGCCGCGCGCCCCAAACGACCCAGGCGGCGAGTAGTCGTCCTCGAACCTTCGTCATGTAGTCGCCCATAGTTAGCGCCCGTCCGTCCCCACCTCCGTCGCCGCGCAAATGAAAAAGAAAAAGAAAATAAACGAAAAGAAAAACGAACCCAAATCCATCGCGTAAACGGCGTCACAAAGCCCGCCGGTTTTGATCGACAAACGTGAGATTGACCGCCGTCGACCAGAGATATCTCTCCACCATGGGCTGCGCCGGGTCGACTCTGCGGTCGGGCGCGTCATTTGAGGACAGCCGCCTCGCGGCGATTGAGGATAGTCGCTTCCATGAGGTGGGCCATCACGCCCAGTTTGAGGACAGCCGCCTCGCGGCGATTGAGGATAGTCGCTTCCATGAGGTGGGCCATCACGCCCAGTTTGACGAAGGCGGTCGCTTCAAGCAGCTGCCGCCCGCCAATGATGATGCCAAGCTGCTCGTTGCCGATCACCCCTCACTGGGCGTGATACGGCTCGACTACGACTACCCGCCCGCCCTCGGTGACGTTGATCACCCGGGCTCCTTCTACTACGACGTGTTCTATCGTGTCGTGCCCGGCCTGACCTTTGAGTTATGCCAGAGTGGCGAGTTGCCGGACGACGTCAAGCAGCGTTTCATTGACGCCATCACGTGGCTCGACGAGCAGGGTGTGGCTGGCATCACAGGCGACTGCGGCTTCTTCATGTACTTTCAGGCCCTCGCACGGTCCGTCACCAGCAAGCCCGTCTTCATGTCGTCGCTCTGCCAGCTGCCCGCCGTTGTATGTGCCTACGCCGCCGACGAGCATATCGCGCTCTTCACCGCCAACGGCGAGTCGCTCAAGCCCATGCGTGAGCTCATCAAGAAGGAGTGCGGCGTGGACCCGGACGACACGCGCTTCGTCATCGTCGGCTGCGAGGACGTGCCTGGCTTCGAGGCAGTCGCGAATGGTGACCGCGTCGATGTCGACTCCGTCTTGCCGCACCTCGTCCGCCTGGCAGAGGACACCGTTGCCAAACATGCGGGCACGGCCAAGCCGATCCGCGCCATCCTGTTTGAGTGCACGGAGCTTCCGCCCTACTCGGACGCCGTGCGCGCGGCGACCCGGCTGCCCGTCTTCGATAGCATCACGTGCTGCAACTCCATGCTCGCGTCGCTCATGGACAACCCGCGCTTCGGTGTCAACAACTGGCACCTCTCCTGGGACGGCGCGCACACCGCTCACCGCTTCGGCGACAACGTGCCGCCGCATCTGAAGGGCAAACTCGTCAACAGGGAGCACCCCGAGAACGTCGCAAGGTGGAACGCGAGTCTCGCGGAGCGGTCGTCGTTTTCTAGCGCTCAGCAAGAAAGCATCGGGCGAGGATCGCGCGAGCTGTGACCCGTGTCGCTCTGTCTATCTGTCTCGGGTCAGTCATTGTCTCTGGTGCTGGGGGGGGTCGGGACCCCCCCCTAGCAGCAGAGCTCTGGTGACCCCCCCCCCCCCCAGCAGCAGAGCTCTGGTGCTGGGGGGTGCTGGCAAGTGGCAGCTCTGTGTACGGAGTTACAGACAGCTCTGGAGCGATTGTTCTTCGCCGGCTTGCGCCGCCCAAACGCCAAAGTCGTCGGCAAGGTGCTGCATATACGCAATACGCTCTACTGTGTACGGATCCGGCGTGAAAGAGCTATCGACATTGACGTTGACCCAGCCGATTCCACCGATGTCGACGTCATTACCTCCGCGGCTACCGCGCTTTCGCTCGACGACACCGTGGAGAATCGCACCGAGGACCTTGCCGAGGCGATAGGCCGAATCACTTTGGGCCCCGCCCCCGCCCCCACCCCTCGGGGTGGGGGCACCCGCCCCTGTCGGGCACCGCTTGCGGCGCCTGGCAGGGGCACCCCCTGGGTGGGGGCCGGCGATTCCTATGCCGGCTCTCCGCCACAACCCCCGCCGGGAGGGAATCCCTGCTCACAGAAAAGGGCTTCGAGCCCTGTCTCGCGCACGCCCCTGGCGGGCGCCGCGGACCAGTTCCGCGAGCGCTCGTCAGCGGGTGGTGTGCGGTTCTTGCCGTAGTTCCTCTTCGGTCGCCTAGCCCCGGCGCCGTCTGGCGGACGCCTGCGTGTCACGAGTGCGAGCCGCTCGCGATTCGTACGCCCGCTTGCGGGTTCGAGTGGCGGGCTATCCCGCTTGCGGGATGGCTTAGCGGGTTCGAGCCGTCACACATTGGCTGCCGGGGTGTGCCGAGGGGGGGCTGGGTGGGCGGTAAGCCGTCATTGCCCGGCGCTGCTTGCAGCGCTCTGGGTGGTAGTGGCGGCGCTCCAAGAGTGGTGCTCTTGGGAAGAGGTTCCTCCTTTCCGCTCCCCCCCCGCAAGGCGCGAGACACACACATGTACATGAAATGGCAAAATGCAAATGGCTCGAGGGCGCGAGCTGCATGGCTTCCACCACGTCACTGCCCGCCATTGCGGCGACGCGTCGCGGCGGACCTGACAGTTTTGCCGGCGGGGCGACGGGCGGCGGCGGCGTGCGCGCGCGCGCGCGCGCGCGCGCGTGCGCGTTTTCGAAAAAGAACTCTTAAAACACAAGCCTCTCTCACAGCACACACACTGGCACGACAAGGGCGCAGACTGGCGCGGACTGGCACACACACCGGCTCACCACCGGATCCGCCTAAGCGACTCCGTTAAGAACGGCAATGCACTCCGCACCACATGCACAATGCCGCTCTCCCCGCACGCTAGCTCGTTCACCGTCTGCCACGCCACAGCGGTGTGGAGGACGACAGACAGACGCTGCATCTGCAGGCCGTGCCAGTTCTTGGTTGTCCATGTGACCTCGTCCAGGTGCTGAGCATGCGAAAGTTTATTGCTCAGCTGGTTCGCCGCCTCCCTCAGGGTGCTGCGGACCTCCTTTCAAAAGCCTCCGAAGCTCTCGAAGTCGAACAAACGCAGATCGCAATCCTGCTCCCCGCGCAAAGCGGTAATCGCCATCCAGCTGCTTGAGCGGCCCCTCGGGGGCATCCGCATCCTCCCCCTCCCCCTCCCCTACCTCCTCCGCCTCCGCCACCCTCCTCCTCCTCGTCCTCCTCCTCCGCCACCGCCGCTGCCGTCGCTCCCGACAGCGAGTACTTGCCGCGCCCTTTGACCAGATTGAGCAGCCCGGGCTCCGTGTTGCCGAAGCGAACATATGCCCCCTTCCAGCCGAGCTCTCCGTCGCCGGCCGCGTCCTTGCCCTTGCTCGCTCAAGCGAGCTCGTGAGCTTGAAATCGGCAACAAGGCGCCTGTGCCCCCTGCCGACGTTTGCCGCCGCCACGTCAGGTTGTTTGGGATTACTGTAACTGAGGTGTGCAGTCGGCTCCATCTCGATGATCAACACATGCTCCACGCCGAGCGGAGGGTCTTGACCAGTCGTTTGAGTAGGAATTTGTGTCTTGTAGCATGTTTCGACCGAGGGTTAACCATCACGGCGTCGCCGAGGACGTCGTGCAGCCGGCCGCTGGGTGCCCTCTTGCCTCCCTCCCTCTCTCCCTCCCTCCCTCCCTCCCCCCGCACCCCCCTCCCTCCCACCCACTCTTTCCTACGCGAAGAGAGCGCGTTTAGCCGCCCCGTGTTTAGCCGCTCTCTCCCAACCAGTCGACGCCGGCTCTCAGTGAGTAAATCTAAAGTTTTGCTTTGGTGGGCCCCAAGTAAACTTGTAGCGGTCTTGCTCGTCAAAGACGGTGCATCCTCGAGTAAATTTGTACTTGCCGTGCTCGTCATATATGTCCTTCCGTCCCTCTGTTTGAATGCACTTTCTCTCCTCTCGTTGTTTCTCTTCCTCCTTCCCCTTGTCACTCTTCTCTCCAGCCTGCTGCATCGCTGACGAACCAAACAAACTTACAAACTTAAGTTTGTCCAGTGTCGGAAATGGGGAAACCACCCTCCCTCCCCTGCAACACCCTCCCTCCCTCCCTCCCCCCGCACCCCCCTCCCTCCCTCCCACCCTTTCCTGTGCGAAGAGAGCGCGTTTAGCCGCCCCGGGGCCCAAAAATCGAAGGTGTGAGACTCACGAGACCGCTCCGGTGTGCTTTGCCCGGCCACCTCGAGTAGCGGTCTGGTCATGCACGATGGAGAGTGACGGCGAGGCATGGTGGGAGCTCGACATGGACGAGGTGGGCCTCGGCACCGACGGCGTGCCGCTCCAGAGCCTCGAGGCGGCTGTGGTGCCGCCGCCGCGCTGGCCATTCAACCAGGCGAGTGGCTACGGCGCGCCGCTCGACTGCGCCGCGCGCTGCCGCGGTGGCGACCACGCGAGCGTGTGCGCGCTGCTCGCGCACTCGCCACGCCTGCTGGTGGCGCTCGGGCCGTGTGGACTGCTCAGCCTCGCGTCACGGCTGCTGCGGCAGTTGGTGGTGTACGATGTTCCCGGCATGCCGCTCGTGCGCGTTGGCGCCGCGCCGCGCCGAGTCGAGCGTGGTTCCGCGACGCGCTACTTTGGCGACGGCGGGTACGTGATGGTATCGCCGCGCGGCTGCGAGGTTTGCTACTCGTACGGCGTCTCGCAGGAGGTGAGCTTCGACGCCGAGCTGGTGACGCAGCATGGGTTGAGGCTGGTGCGCCAATTCGATATGACGCTCGGCGGTGCCTACACGCCGCCGCTGCCGCAGTTCACCTTCTACGACGAGGGCCTCGGTGCGTCGCGCGACGCCGCGGCGCGCCTCGACACGCTCGAGAGCCACGTGCGCCGCTTCGGCGAGCTCGACGTGCGAAAGGTCCTGCAGTGCGACGTGGAGGGCGCAGAGTGGGAGGCGCTGTGGGCGTGCCCGGGCGCCGTGCTCGATTCATTCGATCACCTGGTCATCGAGTTTCACGGGCTGGATGAGCTGGCCTCCATGGGCTTCCACGCGGCGCTGCTCGAGAAGCTCAATGTTCACTTCGTCGTCGTGCACGTCCACGTCAACAACCACGGGCTCGACGTTGATGCTGACGCCGCCGCGCAAAAGTTCACCGAAGTGCTCGGCACGCTCGTGCCACGCACGCTCGAGGTGAGCTACCTCAGTCGCCGCCTCGTCCCCGATGCCGCGCGCGTTGCGAGGGCGGCCAAGGCGTTCCCGACGCCGCTTGACTATCCAAATGTGCACGCGCCGGACGTGATGCTCAACGTGTGGCCGTGGGCCCTCCCGGCCGCCGCCCAAACGTGAAAAGCGCACCACTAAACGCCCAAAGGCATTTCACGACTTGTCTGTGGTCTAGTGCCAGGTTCCAGGTAACCTAAAAGCACGCTACACACACAATCACATCCGTGGATCCGCGTGCTCTGCGTATACGGCTTTTAGCCGGTAGACTCTACACATACAGTATACATCCGACCAATATCTAGACGTACGATTCGTCGTACGTCTTATTTAAATAGAGTACCGATCCCAATACCAATACCGCAGCACACACATTTAAGATTTAAAACCACGCGGAGCACAGAGCGCGCAACAGACAGGAGAGCGGCCCCCTCAGCCTCACCAGCAGCGGGGAGCACGGTCGGAAGGGCGCTTCTGTCGCTTTCGGCAACACCGAGGCTTTCTATCGGAACATGGTCGTGGGGCATGGGCCCTACTGCGAGGAGGGAGAGGGAGGCAAGGGGGAGGGAGAGGGGGGGGACGGGGGAGGGGAGTGTGAGGCGGGTACGGGGGCGAGCGGGCATGGAGGGGGAGAGGAAGAGCAAGGGCGAGAGGGGGCAGGGGACGGGTCAATGGCATACTAGGGGGGGCAGGGTGGCGGGCGGCGATCGCCGCATACCGTCCTATGGCGGCGAGTACCGCGCTACGCCAGGGAGGACAAGGACGTCGACGTGCAGCTGCAGCTGCTGTTCGAGTCGTTCGGTGGGTTCGGGAAGGGGGTCGGCGAGATCCTCCGGAAGGCGGCGGACGTGCTACAGAACAAGCTGACGCGGGCCCAGTACCTCGATGAGGTGACTTGGACCACTAAGAATTGGCTGGGGCTGCAGAAGCAGCGTATCTCAGTCGTTCTTCACACGGCAATCGCGGAGCAGGTTGTGAACGAGCTTGCCTGTGGCGGGGGTGGGCGGGTGCACGGAGCTAAGTGCCTCGCCACCCTCGCAGGAGTCGCTTAGGCGGCTCCCGTGGTGTACCTGTGTTAGTGCCAGTGCGCGCCAGTCCCGTGCCCAGTGTTGTAGGTATATGTCCCCTCCACAGCATCGTGGGCGTTTGAGCGTGAGTATGTATGTATGTAGAAAGATGAACAACAGTCAGGCTCGGACTGGACACCAACGCGGTATGGGTGGACGCGGGACAGATGATGACGACACGCACGAGCGACTCACAGACACAAACAAGCTCACAAGACACACAGCCAGCTGGCTGCCACACACCCTGAGTTGGCGTACACATAACTCAAGGCCGCGCCCCCCCCCTGTCGCCTCCCCCAGCCAAGTTGCCGAAGGAACAAACAAGGGCACAACAACACAACAGACGACAGGGGCGAGCGCGTGAGGCTGGAGCAGTCTTGCTCGTCCTCTAGCAATCTCCGCCGACCGCGAGGCCGGACTAGACCGTGTGTGGGGTCATGTGAGGTGTCTCTGGTCCCTCTCCTCAGGGGCTAGCCGCCAGCCGCTAGCCCTATCTCGCACTCACTGGCGGTGACAATTCTATGGGTGAGCGTATGCGAGTAGAGGCGCGTGAGCCGATTCTTGATCGCATGCCATTGGCATATAACTTGGCTTGGCGTGCGACCTCAGCGCGCCCGCCGTCAGCTCGACGGGGCGCGCATGTCAGCGAGAGGTTTGCCGGTATTGATTGATTGATGCCGGTAGAGGTGGGTTCATGCCACACCATACCCCGCAAAAAGTCCGAACCCAGGGCTGGCTCAGGCTTCTCTCTAGATCTCTCCTGTTGCTGCACCTCTCTCTCGACAGATGAACGGCACGAATTGCCCGCCTGCGGCCGGCAAACTGCTCGTGGACGGACAGGACGCGCGGACGAAGCAGGAGATCCTCCAGATGATCGTCCAGTACCTGCACGACGAGGGCTACACTGCGGCGGTGAGCCTGCGCGCCTCTCCCGCCCCAAGCCTCCGAGGCTTGCAATTCCTGAGGCTGTCCCACGCCTCGACCGCTGCTCCGCTCGCCGCCACGCCGGTGCCACGCCACGAGCACGCCCACGACGCGTCCACGACGCGTCCTTTGCCAAACCGCGGTAGGTCGCGACGGTGCAGGACGAGGCCAACGTGCGCTCGCTCGATGCGCAGCGCGCGCGGACGGCGGTGCGGCGGCTCCGGCGCGCGGTGCTCGACGGCGATTGGCCCGAGATGGAGAAGCTCGTGCCCCGTGCCATCGCCGGCACGTGCGAGCAGAAGGCCTGCCTAGACGCCGTGCACCGGCTGCAGCTCCCAGTTGGTTCCTGACAGAATGGCGGTGCATGGAAGGTGTTCCTGTACGCCGCGTACCGGCTGCAGTTTCTCGAGCTGCTGGACGGAGGCGAGCAGCACAAGGCGTTCACGCAGCTGACGAAGCGGCTCAAGCCACTCGAGAGCTGCGCGCCGTCGCCCGCAGAGTTCCGGGACCTCTGCTACCTCCTCACCTGCTCTGTGAACGGCGTCTATTCACACCTCCAGCTGTGAACAGGTTCCGCGACCTCTGCTACCTCCTCACCTGCCGCTCCGTGCACGAGGTGTGGGCAGACGCCGGGCGCGGCGTGCGCGGGATGTCGCGAGTCCTGACTGCTGACTGAGAAACCAGGTGGTGCGGGACTGGGAGGGGGCGGCGGCGGCGCGCGAGTCACTGCTGCAGCAG